GCGAAGATACGATGCCAGATATCCGTTAGACCCTCGACATCCACGACTGGGGACACGATGTGACCACCTAGGAGTTAGAGAAGCGAAAACATGTGCAAACGATAAGTTAGCGGGAATACGAGAGCCGGCGTCAGCGCGAGTATTGTCCATACCGGTGATGTGGGATGTTGAGAAACAAAGCCGGTATGACGTTTCCCACCAGCCCAACAAAAGGATGACGACTTGAGCCCTGGGATTGCGTGAAGCCATCTTGTTTTGCCATGCGATTGCTGAGGAATTGTCGATACGGAAATGCACATGACGTGGCCTGCCGCAAATAGGACTAATGGTAGACCAGCGTTCCCCCCATGCGTGTACGGCAAAGGCACGCGAAAGGAGCTCGCGGAAGTTGATGTCGAAGCCGCTGGTTGCTCCGGTTTTGAACTCCGCGATCAGCTCACACTCCATTTCGACCACGACATCTGCCAGTGGAAGGGTGTTGAAGTATTCCAGAGATACGCCGTTCAGCTGAGGATTGTGTAGGATGGTTCACCACCACCGCAAGTCTTCTCGCATGGCATCAGATATAGAGACGCTCTGAAAGCGGTGGAGCTGGGCCTCGCGTTGGCGAAGTCGCTGTAGGATCGGTTTGGGAGCCCGGACACACGTCGCTACATGCCGTAAGTTCATATATCTGAAAAGGCAGCTGCCAAGTTTAAGCCAATGCTTTTGATAAGAGAGGGTGACGGGTGCGTCTCGTTTCCAGTCGTAAATGCTGCTAGAGAGATCAGTGGTAGGTTGAAGGAAGCCAGAGGCAATTCCGCATGCGACGATGCACCGTTAGGCTCCCAGGTGTATGATCGAGCCGGCTGGCACAACGATAAATGGGCCATCATGTACGCCTGGTACTTCCCGAAGGGCTTCTATCGTGGAGAGCGATATCATCTTTCATAAAAAGAAGAGAGAGATTGCTCACGCTTTTGAAAAGAGTCGAAGCTGACGATCTTGTTGTGATATGCCGCCATGAGTCAGTGCCGAATTCAACCACAAGACGATAATTGACATGACGCTCATGTTTTGAATGCAGATCACCCTCGCTGGATAACCAAACATAATCTTAGACTGCGGCCGCATACTACATGTTAAAGAGAGGATTTCGCAGCTATGCGAGTTCCTGAACTCTATCCTGTTTGTTGCTGTTGCTCGTGCAAATGCGCTGTGGTTGTTGGCGCTATAGCCAGAAGATTGTCTTTCTTGACCCAAACTTAAGTCATTCCGCAAGTTTTCCTCCAGTACCTGAGCCCTGAACAAGCGTCAGCCGCGAGTATGCGCTTCTCCAACATCGCTGCGATGGTATCTGCCGCTGCCTTCCTCACTATCGACTTCTTTGGGGCCACGAACGCCCAAGATGGCATCGTTTCAAAGCTAGTGGAACCAAATGTGGATCGCTCGACGGATACGCTTTCCAGTGGCAAAAGATCCCTACGCAGCCACAAAGACGACGAAGACGGCGAGGAAGAGACGCGTGGAGGTGTTCACACCAGAAAAACTCGAGAAGATGCTGGGCGATATCAACTACGCATACAAGAAGTTCGCCAAATGGTCCAAACGTGGATGGAATTCAAACGATGTGTATGACGATGTGTCATACAAGCTCTACGAGAAGTACTGGAAATACCGCAAGATCGCGGGTCATGCCTCGTAAACCTCATCGCGGAAGTACGACCGTGCCATGGTTACTACAAGACCTTTCTTCTCTCCTTCACGATGAAAATGATACGACAAAAGCCACTGTGAGTGCAACAGAATCATGTCATGGTGAAAGCATTTTTCGAGCGAACCCTTTAATGGAATGATTAATGCGCTGTACCCGATTTTGCTGCGTTATCTCTATGGCCACTAAATACTAATAGTTTCTATCGAATGCACAGCTTCCGTTGTTAATGGACGACAAGCTA